TATAATCGTAAAGAACGTTTTTAAAATAGTTCTCTTCCTCCCGCTCCCTTTCAGGCAACTTGATTTAGATTTATGTTTTTAATATTGGAGAACGACTGTGTTGTTTTTGGAATTGTCTGAAATACAACACATAAAATAGTGATTTGCAGAACAAGAACCGGCCAATGAAAAATCATCTATTGCCAATGCTATTGCTACAACTAGGACCAGTGTAGCTTTGATTAATGAGATTGATTAATGAGATAGATTAATGAGATAGATTAGAACCAACACAGATTTAAAAGCATTTTAATGTATTTGGGTATAGCACAGAAGTAGATATTTGGGTATTTTTGAGAATTTTAAGAGCTGTCGATTTGTCAGCCCAGATTAGAGAATCAAATACCGTTGTAAAGGGACTGACCCCAGAGAAACCTGCTAAAATAGATTAGCTCTTGTAAGGATAATACCAATTTGATTAATGATGTACATTCATCCCAAAACTGCCTGAGAGGAGGAAGTGACAGCACTTCCTGGTTCAACAAAATGTATTTGGAAAAATGAGCAAAACCATAGTATAGAGAGATTTATTAGACATATGTTTAAGAATATGGCTCAATAAAAGCAAATATGCAAACATATTTGTAAATAGATTAGAATAGTTTTAGTGCATACATTACAGACGAGGTTGATGAAGAATCAGAATGACACAGCAGTAGTCATCAAAATGGTATTGAAGGAATGGTTAAAATGTGGTTTGTTGTGTGTTGTATTCTTTCTGTATTAATTCTTCACAGATAACGAGCCAGTACTAAGATGTTGGCGATGATGGAATTTCCCCCGTCCCGTCGCCCGAGGAAGGTTATTGAAATGTGTGACCTTTTTTTAATAGCGGCCAAGAGAGGGAATTGTTGTATTTATAAATACGTGACATTCTAAAACCATGTGTTTTATGACCTGACGACCGCTGAGTGGGAGGCCAGTCCTTTTAATTTAATTTTAGGGGTCTTCTTGTGCCAGCAAATAAACAACAGATGGATTCTGCTGTTGGGATTTTGTCCCCCTAGCCTTGGCCCCTATTCAACCCACTCCATCAAGAGTGGGTTGACGACTGGAGTCTGCCCGTCTACCCATTTGACATATGATAATACCCATAATCTTTCTTAACATATATTTACTTCATATTTTAGGTGATTTCATGTACTTAGATATTAGATTAATTAGTGTGATGTGTTTGTACTGCACATGCAGGTTAGTTCTGTAGGAAAGCGGGCTGTTGAGACTAATTAGGGAATTTGTTTAGACAAGCAGAGATTGGATCCCAGACCAGAGACAGCTGCCCGGAGACGTAGGTTAGAAAAGCATGAATTCTTTTTTAGGTGCGGACTGGAGACGAGAAGACCAGATGGGGGAAGGCGGATCACGGGACCGGAAGCTGCCTGATACGACACGCCCCCTTCTTCCTGGACATCTGCTCTTTTCATATGCTTGGGCTGGAGGCTTGGAGTCAGTGAGCACAGGGCGAGAGAGGGACAGCATAGCATAGATTTAGGAGCTCTCTTTTGTTTGAATTTTCTGTATCTGATTGTCAAGATAAATTAAATACAGATGTTAAACTTGGAGAATCTTTGTCTGATTTTCTGTACCAAATTTTGAACACGTCAGTCAAATCTTTTTTGACCCACAATGTATATAAATATATGTATTATATAAATAATTGATGTTTTATTTATTTTTTGGCTCAGTTTCTTATGTTTTAAGTTTTTTACAGCTGTGCTACAGAAGCAACCCCAGCATTATAGACAAACTGCTTCAGGAAGGGCATCAGGAGTACAGAATTTTTTGCTTTTATAGTGGAATTTTGTAAAAACTATAATAGTTAGAGATTCAATTTTTTTCCCCATTATCCCCAGGACCATAAATAAAATTTCTATGCAGTGTAAAAAGTTGTTTATAGCATTTCATTGTGTTTTTTCAATACATTTTTGTTAAATTGATTTTCCGTTTGATTTTTTTCTTTGTCTTCATGATTCCATAATTTTTATATAATTCATATGACAGCTTTACAATATAAATATTCTAAAACCCCAGGTTGTACTGAAAAAAACAAAGTATACTGCTTGACTCTGCATAGAAAGATGACTGTTTTATGAACAATTATACACAAAGAAAACCTGGCGAGGAAAGTTCCCCAAAATGACCCATGTGCATAGAGGGTTAACTCTGTCACCTCTAGTGTTTTGAATGTTCTGGATACCGTTGCCCCTGTGAAGGTTAAAATAGTGAAAAATAAGCAGAAGGCGCCGTGGGCTAAAGCAGACTCGGTCAGGGCACAAAAGAGAAAGTGCCGGAGGGCCGAGCGGAAGTGGCGCAAGTCCAACCTCCAGGTTGATTACGAGATCTTCAAAGATAAGTTGTGCGAGTTTAACCGAGTGCTACGTAGTACGAGAGAAAGGTATTTTTCTGAAATGATTGAAGGCTACAGTAACAATCTGCGTGTTCTGTTCTCAACAGTTAATAGATTAACAAACCCCCCTGTTCAGCTCCCAGTAGAACTAACTTCCAAACGTAAATGTAATGAGTTTGCAAATGTTTTCAATGACAAGGTTCAAGGCATCAAAAACGCCATTGTCTCTAATCCACAGATAATAATCCAACAGCCAGAAAGGCTCTCTGAGCTAACTCACTTTGCACCTGTAGATGATAAAACTGTCCAAGAAATAATATCCAGTTTGAGCTCCTCCACATGCAGCTTGGATGTACTACCCACTAGATTTCTGAAGTCTGTTCTGAGCAGTCTGTTACCTTCACTCACACAGATAGTAAACATGTCCCTTCATTCTGAAATATTCCCAAAGGCCCTGAAAACTGCAGTCATCAGGCCCCTGCTAAAAAAGAGCAGTCTGGATGCTACGGTACTTAACAACTATCGTCCCATCTCAAATCTGCCATTTATGGGGAAAGTCCTTGAAAAAGTTTTCTACCAACAGCTTACTAGATTTCTTATAATCAACAACTCATTTGACATGTTTCAGTCCGGCTTTAGACCCCACCACAGCACTGAGACTGCTCTTGTTAAGGTTACAAACGATATCCGGCTGAACACTGACGCAGGCCAAGTCTCAATCTTAATCCTGTTAGATCTAAGTGCAGCTTTTGACACTGTCGACCATGAGATCCTCTTACAGAGAATAGAGGACTGGGTTGGTATCGCTGGCACCATGGAGAGGCTGCATTTCAGATTCATGCTGCTAAAAAACTGGAACAATCTTCCTGAAGATGTGAGACAAGCCTCCTCTCTGACAATTTTTAAAAACAGTTCTGTTTAGCTGTGCATACAACTGAGGGATTTTATATTCTTATCTTTATTTTGAATGTACTGTGATTATTTATGATTTTAATGCTATCTTATTTTGTTCAGCACTTTGAGTTGCCTTGTGTATGAATTGTGCTATACAAATAAACTTGCCTTGCCTTACTTTTATGAGTTTATTGAGATATGGGAGGAGCCAGAGGGGTTTAAGAGCAGGTCAGCCCCTACAGTCAGTGTGAGTCTGAACTGGGACAGAGGAGGTAAGCCAGAAGACCTTTTGGAAATGTTTTCTTTTTCTGTAAATGTTGTAAATATGTTTTCTAACTGCTGTTTTGTTTTCTGTACAGCAGTCCTCTTCATTATTTTTGCTATAGTTTGTAAATAAAACCTTAAAAAGTACTCAGGCAGCATCATCATTTTATTTCAAATCCAGAACCCCGTCACAATATAAAAATCAACTTGTATTTTTTTATTCATTATTATTTCATAATTTTACATACATATAAATAGTAGAAAAAATAAATTGATTAAAGACCTTATGCCGGGTTTGATTTATTTAGAATTACAGTTTTAATACCATTTTATATTAGAAGAGAACTACTAAAGGTTTCAAAATCAGTTGTTTTTTTTGTCTGATCCCCCCAAAATCGAAATAACCCCATAGCAACGCCTTTAGGGACGAAAAAACTTCACAGCCCTTGGTGACGTCAGAGTGGGTACGTTTCAACGCTGTAAGTTGTTTACAATATTACGATATTCAAGATGACAAGGCCGTGTACAGCAAGTATGATATTACTACTAGATTATGACCCTTGGTTGGCACTGAGATAGTCCAGTGGTTGTGTCAATGCACTGCCAATCCAGATACTGAGGTTCAAATCCCAACTCAGACACATTTTCACTCTCAAAACGGCAATTTATGTGTAGTGAGCAATTGTCACCTGTAGAGTGCAGTATTGTGTTGGGCATCAGTGGAGAGAAGAGAGAAAAGGCAGTCCTGTGGCATAGATCCATGGTTTTCAATGCATGGGCGTTACCTGCTATGACGTCACACACAGGTTAGAGCATAGACAACTTAAATTCATGAAAAACACGTTCTTTTTATAAAATATAGGATTTTTTTTGCCGGAATCTATTTCAGATCGACATTGTCATGCAATTTTGATATCCACAATAAAAAATAAAAAAACCCTGCATAAGGTCTTTAATACAGTGAAATAACAGAATTCATATTAATCTCAAGGTTGGCTCTGTAACTTTCAAGTTTAACAACCAAAGTAAAAGGTCAAAAATATCTCAAAGTGACCTGGTTTCAATGAATACACAACAAATACCTTTGACTCATACTAATATAAATAGAACAGAATCACAAATACATTTGTACTTCAGTTACAAGAGAAGAATCAGGAGGAGTCCCAGGAGAGAATGGAGCAAAGTCATTTTCACATCAGACACAGCAGAGGAGGCTGCAGTAGTTGTAGTCGTTGCTGGTGCAGTAGTTGTAGTCGTTGCTGGTGCTGTAGTTGTAGTCGTTGCTTGTGCTGTAGTTGTAGTCGTTGCTGGTTCAGTAGTTGTAGTCGTTGCTGGTTCAGTAGTTGTAGTCGTTGCTGGTTCAGTAGTTGTAGTCGTTGCTGGTTCAGTAGTTGTAGTCGTTGCTGGTTCAGTAGTTGTAGTCGTTGCTGGTTCAGTAGTTGTAGTCGTTGCTGGTTCAGTAGTTGTAGTCGTTGCTGGTGCTGTAGTTGTAGTCGTTGCTGGTGCAGTAGTTGTAGTCGTTGCTGGTGTTGTAGTTGTTGCTGGTGTTGTAGTCGTAGTTGTTGCTGGTGTTGTAGTTGTAGTTGTTGCTGGTGCTGTAGTTGTAGTCGTTGCTGGTTCAGTAGTTGTAGTCGTTGCTGGTGCTGTAGTTGTAGTCATTGCTGGTGCTGTAGTTGTAGTAGTTGCTGGTTCAGTAGTTGTAGTCGTTGCTGGTTCAGTAGTTGTAGTCGTTGCTTGTGCTGTAGTTGTAGTAGTTGCTCGTTCACTAGTTGTAGTCGTTGCTGGTTCAGTAGTTGTAGTCATTGCTGGTGCTGTAGTTGTAGTAGTTGCTGGTTCAGTAGTTGTAGCCGTTGCTGGTGCAGTAGTTGTAGCCGTTGCTGGTGCTGTAGTTGTAGTCGTTGCTGGTTCAGTAGTTGTAGTCGTTGCTGGTTCAGTAGTTGTAGTCGTTGCTGGTTCAGTAGTTGTAGTCGTTGCTGTGGTTCAGTAGTTGTAGTCGTTGCTGGTTCAGTAGTTGTAGTCGTTGCTGGTTCAGTAGTTGTAGTCGTTGCTGGTTCAGTAGTTGTAGTCGTTGCTGGTTCAGTAGTTGTAGTCGTTGCTGGTTCAGTAGTTGTAGTCGTTGCTGGTTCAGTAGTTGTAGTCGTTGCTGGTTCAGTAGTTGTAGTCGTTGCTGGTTCAGTAGTTGTAGTCGTTGCTGGTTCAGTAGTTGTAGTCGTTGCTGGTTCAGTAGTTGTAGTCGTTGCTGGTTCAGTAGTTGTAGTCGTTGCTGGTTCAGTAGTTGTAGTCGTTGCTGGTTCAGTAGTTGTAGTTGTGGCTGGTTCAGTAGTTGTAGTAGTTGCTGGTGCTGTAGTTGTGGTAGTTGCTGGTGCTGTAGTTGTAGTAGTTGCTGGTTCAGTAGTTGTAGTAGTTGCTGGTTCAGTAGTTGTAGTTGTTGCTGGTGCTGTAGTTGTAATAGTTGCTGGTGCTGTAGTTGTAGTCGTTGGTGGTACAGTAGTTGTAGTCGTTGCTGCTTCAGTAGTTGTAGTCGTTGCATGTGCAGTAGTCGTGTTCGTTGCTGGTGCAGAAGTTGTATTCGTTGCTGGTGCAGTAGTTGTATTCGTTGCTGGTGCTGTAGTTGTATTCGTTGCTGGTGCTGTAGTTGTATTCGTTGCTGGTGCTGTAGTTGTAGTCGTTGCTGGTTCAGTAGTTGTAGTCGTTGCTGGTGCTGTAGTTGTAGTCGTTGCTGGTTCAGTAGTTGTAGTCGTTGCTGGTGTAGTAGTTGTAGTCGTTGCTGGTGCTGTAGTTGTATTCGTTGCTGGTGCTGTAGTTGTAGTCGTTGCTGGTGCTGTAGTTGTAGTCGTTGCTGGTGTAGTAGTTGTATTCGTTGCTGGTGCTGTAGTTGTAGTAGTTGCTATGAGAGAAAACACCGGATGAAAGTAATTAGTAATTATAGATCTACCATTACAAAATACTGGTATCAGTAGCAAGGCAAAGCAAGTTTATCTGTATAGCACTGTCCATACACAAGGCAACTCAAAGTGAGTAACGAAGATAGAAACAAAGCTTTAAAACCATAAATAATCACAAGCGATACACGCCATGTTTGTGTTTTGTCACTTAGTTATGTTCATGTGACATTCCCAAGAGACTAAAGTTTCAAATTTTGCTCAAGACATGAGACATATTTCATTGTAACTATGGCAACTGTCAAACATCAGAATCTAGTCTTTAGCCTATTTCGCAGTATTACTTGTGGACCTCTGGTCATTTTAAATGACTGCTCCTCCTCTGTGATTCTTACAGCACATTCACACGAGAGCAGTGTCTGTAAATGACTGTATTTTCACAGACTTAGTAATAATTCAATCTGGAGAGACGAGGAAACAAGAATGCCTTTGAAGTATTTTATTGAGAGGTAGTTTGGCGCCCCAGGCCCCGGTGCGGCGTTCAGTCAGCGAGGCTCCTGCGAGAGTGCGCGCACAATCCCCCGGGACCTAGGCACTGGTGGCGGCATTTGGCAGCAGGAAGGCAGATTGAGGCAGGGTGAAGAGGAGGAGGAGGGGAGGCGGTGGTTGCAAGGCTTCGAGAAGGCCGTGAAGTGGGAGTTTCTCCGCTTTTAAGCGGCTGGCCTGGCCGGCACGGATTGATTGGAAGAGGGCGTTTGCTGTGCGATAGGCTGGGGATGCGAGCCGGCCTGGAAGGGGTGGCTTTGGCTGACGTCTTCCAAATTGAATTTCCGGGAGCTGCATTTCAATCTGGAGAGACGAGGAAACAAGAATGCCTTTGAAGTATTTTATTGAGAGGTAGTTTGGCGCCCTAGGCCCCGGTGCGGCGTTCAGTCAGCGAGGCTCCTGCGAGAGTGCGCGCACAATCCCCAAAAGGCTGTGTGTTGATGGAGTTTTGCAGGCCTGGTTTGCAGGGGACAGACGTCGTGACCGCTATATACTGTGACCGCTATATACTGTGACCGCTTTATACTCAGCACCGCTATGTACTCAGCTCCGCTATATGCTCAGCTCCGCTATATGCTCAGCTCCGCTATATGCTCAGCTCCGCTAAATGCTCAGCTCCGCTATATGCTCAGCTCCGCTATATGCTCAGCTCCGCTATATACTGTGACCGCTATATACTGTGACCGCTATATACTGTGACCGCTATATACTGTGACCGCTATATACTGTGACCGCTATATACTGTGACCGCTATATACTGTGACCGCTATATACTGTGACCGCTATATACTGTGACCGCTATATACTATATATATGCTCAGCTGCTGCCGCCACCAGGAAGTTTGCGAGTGTTTTATGGAGATGCCAAGAGACGCTGGGCTGCCAGAATAGTCGAAGTGTCAGGCCTGATGTATGAGGAGAGGGCCGATGATGACCAGCGGCCCAGCTGCTGAGGGGCAGAATGGGGAGACCCAGGGAAGCGGCGCGCATGGCAGCGCCTATCCGAAAAGAGTGAGCTGTGTAGAGATGAGGGGACAAGTTACGAAGCAGCAGTACAGACTTGAGTTGGGCTCTGAACCAGTTGGATGTCATGGGGAGGTTATCGGGAGTGAGGAATAGCGGTCCGTTGAGATCTCCTTTCGGAGAGCGGAGGCGAGTGTAATGCATCATGGATCTGTAGGGACAGGGAGAAGTGTCAGAACGAGCTATGACTATGTTGCAAGCGCCTTTGCGTTTGGAATGCTTTGAGGGAAGCGTCGGGCCGGGCCCGGCGAACCACTGGTCCTGGAAAACCCCCAAAACCCACGGACAGGGCTGCGTCCGTGAAGAACCGCAGGGCATCTGAGGACAGGATGACGTCACTGTAAAAAAAAGATACACCGTTCCAGCGGCTCAGCAGACGGGACCAGAACGCCAGGTCGGAGCGGCACCCCGCGTCCGGGCAGACAGCGTCATTGAGGGAGGAGACGGAGCCAGCGAGGGAGAGGAGTCTGGAAATAAAAGAACGACCTTGGGGAATGATACGGATGGCATAATTAAGATGCCCGAGGAGGGAGAGCAATGACGCCTCGAAAGTGACGGGAAGGACAAGGCAGACCGGGAGAAAGCGCGGATGCGCTCGAGCTTGTCCAGCGGGAGGGAGGCCTCCATGGCGCGTGTGTCGAGGCGGATGCCGAGAAACTCCAGAGCGGTGGCGGGGCCTGTGGTCTTCTCGGAGTGAAGGAATCCGAGGGCAGAGAAGGCGAGCTTGAGCTTGCGGAGAGAGCCCCCGGAGCAGTCTGAGGGTGGGTTGACTACGAGGGAATCATCGGGGAGATGCAGGACAGAGGGGAGCCGCGCGTAATTAAGCAGAAACCGACACGGCGCCTCCGAGAGATTGTTGAACGAGAGGGACTACTCCGGCAGTCAAAGGTGAGGCGCACTGCGAAGAAGAACTCTGACGCCACTTGACCCCTGAACAGCGCCAGTGGTCGGGGTGGATGGGCAGCAGCTCGAACGCGTCCGGGATGTCGGCCTTGGAGAGCCAGGAGCCGGGGCCGAAAGTCTTTATCAGCCTGATCGCGTGGTCCACGGTAGCGGACTACGGGGAGAAGGGCGCTGGAGGGAAGGGGCTGTTGATGCTCGGGGCGGGCCCGGAGCGGGGACAGGAGAGGACGAATATGAGACGCTTCTTCCTGGAGTGCTTGCGGGTGGCGACGCCCATCGGGTTAGAGCAAGACGGAGAGAAGGGGCCAATGACGTAGCCCACGGACACCTCCCGCGCCCGAGCCGCGTGACGACTTGGGGCCCACGGAGAGCCGGGAAGAGGTTGCGGGACATGAGAGACGCCGAGGGACCTAAACAGAGCTTGCAGTCCAATGTGAGGGATTTAAACAGAGCTTGCAGTCCAAAGTGAGGTATTAAAACTGAGCCCGCAGTCCAAGTGAGGCGTTTAACTGAGAGCCTGCAGTCCGGTGTGAGGGAGTTAACCCTTTAAGCGCCAAAGTCGCAATATTGCGACAAGCAACATTGCTCACTTAAACAGGCTGTATCTGAAAATGTGGTGCAGAATCTTGTTAATACTTTTCACCAGGGGTTAGTGGACATGTGTGCCTGTAATATGAGCAGCATTTGTGGGTGTGGTTATATTGAAAGTTTTAGAGTAAATTGAGTTCGTAAAACACCTGCGGCGCTGCGGAGCGGAGGCGAAGCAGCAGCGGTAGAGATGAGAGGAGCGAGAGCAGAGCAGAGGGAAAGAGTGTTTTTTATTTTACTCACGAGGTCTTCAGTACCAGAGAAGTACTTGGTCTGGTACTGACTCACTCAGATTCAGAGGAGGAAGACCTGCAGGTGTCCAGTGAAGCAGACACGGACATTATAAGTGACGGGGAGACCGCGCTCCATAGTCCACAATCAGCCACTGTGCAGCGGCTGCTTGTCCTCCGTGTGGCCGCGTTAGAAGCATTCTGTGAACGCCGAGCAGGGGCCGTGGTGGAGGGGGCAGGGGGATCATAACACCGGGCATGTGGGAAAAAGTAGCCGGGGTAGACCTCCGCGGGGATCGCGAGAGAAGCCGTGGGAAAAAGCACATCGCTAATCACGTTCACTGCCTTTACCAACTGCAATGATGAGGATGAAGGCAGTTCTTGAGAGAAAATAATCCACAAAAGTGGACCAGAAGTGTTGAAGAGCCTGTTGTTTCTTGTTGAGATGATCTGACATGTTCTGTGCCCATTCATTTCATCTCTCTGTTTCTAAACGATAAATCCTGGAGCCTCATTTCCACTGAGAAAAATAGTATGCCCACTACTTCTTTGAAAGGGAAATATTGAAACCAATCTCCAGATTTCATGACTGTAAACTATAAAGAGTGCAGTCTTGATCACTGAAGGTCTTTGAAAATAATAAAATTCCATATGGCTGCGAACCAGTGCTAAAACATTATGTATAATCTGGATCAGGGAATTTATTTCTATCCCAAATTCATTTCATACTAAAGATATTTCACATTGACTGTTTATAGTATTCCCTGATTTCAAATAACTCCCAAGCTACAGCTTTTTGAAGTCTTTATACAATAATTAACATTTTCCAAAATGGCCGCCACCTTGATGACGTCACAATATGCAAATTAGATGACGAATCAACTTCCATCCCAAAGTTTGGTTCAGACTGAAGATATTTCTAATTTACAGTATGCCTTTATCTCAAACCATTTTAAAGTTATAGCCTTTTGAAATCAAAATTGTATATTTTCTTGAAAAAACTCTGGCGCCTAAAGGGTTAAACGACCTGTAGTCCAAGTGAGGGTTTAATACTGAGAGCTTGTAGTCCAGTGTGAGGGATTCAAACATTGCCCGCAGTCCTAAAAGAGGGATTTATAACTGAGAGCTTGTAGTCCAAGTGAGGGATTAAACCGAGAGCTGCAGTCCAGTGTGAGGGATTCAACAGAGTTTACGGTCCAAGTGAGGGATTAACTGAGCCCGCAGTCCAAGTGAGGAGTTTAAACTGAGAGCCTGCAGTCCAAGTGAGGGATTAAAACTGAGAGCTTACAGTCCAGTGTGAGGGATCCAACAGAGCCTGCAGTGTTTTTTTTTTTTTTTTTTTTTTTGATATATAAGCAGTTCCAGATATTAGCAGTACCGATATATGCAGTTCCATATACTGTATAAGCAGTTCCAGGTATAAGCAGTTCCATATATAAGCAGTTCCATATATAAGCAGTTCCATATATAAGCAGTTCCATATATAGCAGTTCCAGGTATAAGCAGTTCCATATATAAGCAGTTCCATATATAAGCAGTTCCATATGTAAGCAGTTCCATATACGGTATAACAGATCCAGATATAAGCAGTTCCAGATATAAGCAGTTCCAGATATAAGCAGTTCCATATACGGTATAACAGTTCCAGATATAAGCAGTTCCAGATATAAGCAGTTCCGTGAGGGATTAAACCGAGAGCTCGCAGTCCAATGTGAGGGATTCAATTTGGGAGCCGCAGTCCAAGAGGGATTTAAACAGAGCTTGTAGTCCAGAGAGGGATTGAAAAAGAGCCTGCAGGCCAAAGTGAGGGATTAAAACTGAGAGCTTGCAGTCCAATGTGAGGGATTAACGGAGCTTGCAGTCAGAGTGAAGGATTTAAACTTAGAGCCGCAGTCCGAGAGGGATTTAAACGGAGCTTGGTTAAAGAGAGCCTGCAGACCAATGCGAGGGCTTTAAACTGAAGCTTGCCCACCAATGCACGGGGCCAACTGAGCCTGCAGTACAAAGCGCGGGGCCAACTGAGCCTGCAGTACAATGCGAGGGGAATAAACCGTCCGCAGATCTCATACTTACCCACAACGCCAGAAGACAGGGGACAACACAACGGGACCACGCCGTATCGGCACGAGGAGGCAGGGATGCGCACAGCTCCCACCGCACCGGGCCAGACCGGCCGTATGCAGCAGCAGGCCGCGACGAGACGAGCAGCGGCGAACCCGCAGAAAGAGCCCGCAAAGGAGGAGAGCGGCAAAGACCCACGGGCCACAGCACGAGACACGCAGCAGGTGCAGCGACGCGAAGGAGCAGACCACGCGCAGCAAGACAGAGGACAGCAGGGACACGCACGAGTAAGCGTGAGTAGACAAAAGCGATTCCTCCAGAACGACTCTTTGCAAGGCTTCGAGAAGGCCGTGAAGTGGGAGTTTCTCCGCTTTTAAGCGGCTGGCCTGGCCGGCACGGATTGATTGGAAGAGGGCGTTTGCTGTGCGATAGGCTGGGGATGCGAGCCGGCCTGGAAGGGGTGGCTTTGGCTGACGTCTTCCAAATTGAATTTCCGCGAGCTGCATTAGACACAACGGCCAAACGTGCGCGAGTCTCTGCTTCATGCAGCCCAAAGGATCCTCACTGAGATCCAGTCAAAACACATGGAAAACATGTTTGTGCTGATTGTCCTTGGCCTTATTTCAGCTCCACACACACATTACTCATATTTAAACTTTAGTGGAGACCTGCGACTAAGATCTCAGACGTCCTCTGAGATCATCACAAATTACCAGAGATCCACAGGTAATACTAATCCTGTGTGAATAGGGTTTTAGTTAAGAGCTATGTTGTGTATGTAATTTCTGGATCAATCCAAATTAATTAGAATTCTACAATTTAAAAAGAAAGTCTTTGATGTAATAAAACGCTTTACCGACCAATAGAGTTTGAACTTTTATTTGTTAAGTTACGAGCATAAACAACTGGCATAGTCACTGGATAACCATAGTAAACATTACTAATCTACACAAACCAACCTATGATTATAAGATCATTAGTATATCACATGTTTAAAAAGCACAGCCCCTGTGGCTGGAGGTCTAAATGCCATGTTTTGCAGGAGCACATGAGGACTATAGTGCGGCTGATATTCACCTGTGTTGATGGACAGAGCCACAGCTAAGGCCAGGGACAGCAGCAGCTTGAGTGCAGTCTTCATGTCTGCAGATGTCTTCAGGCGTCTGTCTAATCCACCTGTACCTGTGACTGTTCTGATGGATGCTGCTCCTTCTGACTCCTTTTAAACTGGATGTGCTTTGGGAGGGGCCATTGCTCTGACAATCATCCAGGTTCATCCACGTCAAACAACAAGGAACCTGTTTTTTTTTCTTTCTCATAACTCACTGGAACTGGCTTGGCCGTTACTATTATCCATCTGTGCTTCACAGCTTTGCCAGGATATAGTACTATGTAATATATAATTAAGTACATAAGATGAATTACATGATTATAGAGTATTAGGTAAAAATGAAGTCCACACCATAACTGTCCGTTACAGAAAATCAAATGATTTGTTGTCAACAGAAATCTTGATTTAAAGGTTATATTTTGCTGTTTTTCACAGTCCATCCTAAGCACATACAGTATGTGATAATACTTTGGATGATACAACACACATTATTTGCATGAAGCTGATGTCACCTTTGCAAACACTAGTATGAGTGCGCCTTCCACTGTGAGCCTGTCATCCCACCCTCACCCGTCTCCCTCCACCCGTCTCCCCCCACCCGTACGGTAACGTAGCCTTACCCTGACTTTGTAATCACCATGGACTGTAAATATTCAAAACATTCAACTATTTAGTTTTCACCGGTACATAATCATTTCAGGCCTGAGACTTTTTCTCTTTGTCACATAGAGCCCAGAGAGCCTCTAGAACCCAAGAGGGGGACCCTAAATTATTAAGCTCATAGAAGTATACGACGTGTTAGTTTCCAGATCAGCGTTTGGTCCATGAAAGAGTGCCCTCTAAGGGTGCTTTCACACTTGTTGGTTCAACAAAGTGGTTTGATTAAATAAATAGCTAGTACAATATTTCACTGCTGTAACTTTTATACATGATTATTACCGTTACTATCTAATAATACTGCCACTACTTCATACTATTCCTGCTACTACTGCTACTACTACTACTGCTACTACTACAACTGCTACTGCTACTACTAATACTACTGCTACTGCTACTACTGCTACTGCTACTACTAATACTACTGCTATTGCTACTACTGCTACTACTACTACTACCACTAGTACTAGTGGTAGTACTAATACTACTGATACTACAGTGTTACTGCAGGAGGTTGGTTGCCACTGTCTTTGCCATCAGCACCACAAGACAATCATTGAATCCGTGCACACTTTGCTCTCCCGGGTTCACCCCCCACCCATGTTGTTTTGAATGCACCTCACCACCCCCCCCCCCCCCCCCCACATTAGACACCTGTACATAAGGAAAACACAAAGCAGGGACAGGAAGCCACATGGAGGGGATGGGGATCAGGGAGCAGAAGATCCATGCACTACACCCATCAGGGATCCAACACTGTAATATGGATGGTAGTAATATTATCAATATTATTATTACTATTAATCATAATATTTATTAAATTTTTCTTTGTAAACTTGTAAGCAACGCACATGCGCACACACACACACACAAAATCTACACAAAACATTGTTCACTTTCCATGTCTGTATTCTATGTATTCTTGTATGTCTTGTACCGTGTATGTTTGTCATTTACCTGTTTGTTTTGAATTTGGAATGAATTAAAAAGAAATAATAATAATAAGTGGTTCGATTGGGCCCAAAAGTTGTTACAATGTTGCAGTTTTCAACAGGTTCGGTCCTCATTCACACAAGTGTTTTTGCAAATGCACCAACCAGCTGACGTAGGTGAAAGCTGATTGGAGCAGGGAAACATCCCTGAAGAAAACAAACTTGGCTATTATCATCATTTCTTTGTGCAGCACAAATATTATGTATAATAATAATAATAATAATAATGCATCGGTTTTATATAGCGCTTTTTTTGGACACTCAAAGACGCTTCACATGTGTCATTATTCATTCACTCCAAACACGGTGGTGATAAACTACTATTGTAGCCACAGCTGCCCTGGGGCACACTGACAGAAGCGAGGCAACCAGTATGTGCCATCGGCCCCTCCGACCACCACCAACCATTCACACACACACCAGACTCATTCTAGGCAATGGGGGTGAAGTGTCTTGCCTAAGGACACAACGGCAGTTTGGCACTTTACAGCCGCAGCCACCCCCCTGTGGCTGGTGTTCCCAGAGGTTAAGTGTCTTGCCAAGGACACAACGACAGTAGTCAGTGGGAGTCGATGGTGAAAGTCTTGAGCGGGGCTTGAACCCACGACCTTCTGGCTCAAAGGCCAACGCTCTACCAACTGAGCTACTGCCGCCACAAATCTATTATGTATCGCGGATTCAGCACGATAATACTCTGCAGCTGTTTTTGGAGCAGAAAATACGTGTTCCAAAACATTATTGCCGAAAAAGAGCTTAGCTGCTCATCCGGCTGGCTTTCAATGGAAGCTTTGGTCGACAAAAGAGTCTGTTACGCAACAGAGCAGGGCCATATCGAGGCCGGTGAGCGTTCCCACCAACAGTGAACCGGACTGGACTCCACATGGAATCGCACCAAGACCAGCTCCATAAGGGGGTCTCGGTGCGGTTCTTTATTCCGGACCAAATTTAACAGGCCCACTTTCACACCAACCCAAACGAACCGTACTTGCAGGTGTCTTAAGACTCCAGTCCGTTTTAAGTGGACTAAATGGTGCAGGTGTGAAAGCACCCTAGCAACAGGGGCTTCTCTGGACCTGACTGAAGCCTAGTGTATAGATGCGCAGAGATTACGTTGGTGACTTGACGTCACTTGCGCAACGCAAGGATCACCGCAAGACCCTTGCGTAGCCTGCTGCGCACCCTCAAAAATGTCTAACTAGGCAGCCGGCACCGCAGAGAAGCTCCGCTGTGATTGCTCCGTGTGTGATTACTTTCTGGGAAGCATGAAGCGGCTGCAGGGAACATGGACGAGGCACTTTAAAACAGACTGCTTTGTGCTTCGAAGGAATCGAAGGAAAAGCAGTTTGGGCTCGTGGCTCAGAGCCTGATATACGCGGAGACTATGGACTAGAGTTCTGTTCTGCATATCGAACATATATATAACTTATAAACTGTGCAGTCATTTCTTTTGCACTGTTCCTGTCTTTGTTTGAATTTACACTTGTAGCTTATTGCGTCTGTTGCACTTGTAAGTAAGTAATGTTTATTTATATAGCGCATTTTACAGACCAAGGTCACCCAAAGCACTTTACAATGTTCAGAGTCAGATATTGTTCCAATCATTCCACACACAGTGATGATGGAAGCGAGTCGCTGAACACACTGGACGATCAGCCCCCAATCAACACCATCCATTCACTCTCTCATTACATTCAGACCTATTGTGCATGTTTTTAGTGGTAGGGGAAACCGGAGCACCTGGAGGAAACCTACGCAGACACAGGGAGAACATGCAAACTCCACTCAGAAAGGCCCTATTCCGACCGGGATTTGAACCCAGAACCTTCTTTGCTGAGAAGCGAGAGTGCTATCCACTCAGCCACTCTGACCCTAATTATTAAGTTCACTAAAGTATACGGCGACTTAGTTTCCAGATCAGCGATTGGTCCATGAAAGAGCCCATTGTGCCAAGAGGAAGCAAACAGTCACATACTGTACATATATGCATATATAGAAATGGTAAATAGAATAAATAAAAACAAATTATATATATACCGTTTATATATATATCTCATCTGGGACTCACCCGGAATGGCTAACCGAAGGGCGAACGGTCCTGATCATGAAGGACCCTGTCAAGGGTGCAGTCCCCTCCAACTACCGGCCAATAACCTGTCTCTCCACAACATGGAAGCTCGTGTCAGGCATCATTGCGGCTAAGATAAGTGGGCATATGGAACAATTCATGAGCACAGCACAGAAGGGCATTGGTAGAAACACCAGAGGAGCCAAACACCAGCTCCTAGTTGACAGAACAGTCGCCCAAGACTGCCGGTCATGACACACCAACCTGTGCACAGCCTGGATTGATTACCAGAAAGCCTACGACTCAATGCCGCACACATGGATCATGGACTGCTTGAAGTTGTACAATATCAACAGGGCTCTAAGGGACTTCGTTGCAAACTCAATGGGAATGTGGAAGACCACCCTTGAGGCAAATGGCAAGCCGCTCGCACAAGTGACCATCAAATGTGGTATCTACCAAGGAGATGCTCTGTCCCCACTACTGTTCTGCATAGGCCTCAACCCTCTAAGCCAAGTAATTGACCAGACTGGCTATGGATACCGCCTCAGGAACGGAGCAAAGATCAGGCACCTCCTCTACATGGATGACATCAAGCTGTACGCCAAGAGCGAGAGAGACATCGACTCTCTGATCCAAACCACCAGGATCTACGGCCATGACATCGGGATGTCATTTGGACTCGAGAAATGTTGCAGGATGGTGACTCGGAGAGGCAAGGTAGTCCACACAGAAGGGATCTCACTCCCAGAGGGAACAATAGCAGACGTTGAGGACAGTTACAAGTATCTTGGTATACCACAGGCAAATGGCAACCTCAAACAGGCAACGGGGAAAGTGGCAACTGCCAAATACCTCCAGCGAGTAAGGCAGGTCCTAAGAAGCCAGCTTAATGGCAAGAACAAGGCTGGGCAATTAACAGCTACGCCCTGCCAGTGATCAGATACCCTGCAGGGATAATCAGGTGGCCAAAGGAAGAGATTCAGACCACGGATGTTAAAACTCGAAAGCTCCTCACCATGCATGGCGGGTTCCATCCCAAATCCAGCACCCTGAGACTGTCCAGCATCAAAGCTCGTTGCTATCTGATCATTTCTTGATCACGTTTGATCTCGATTTGGAGGACTTATCTGAGCGGCAACATAAAACCATAATGAAAATAACCTTAAATGATAAGTCTATCACAAGGTTCAAAGAACTAATACAAGGTTCAAAGAACTAATACAGCCAATGTTGAATAGTAATGCAGGTGAACCTGTTCACAGCTGCTGCAGTCTCTCAGTCATTGACCAAACGGTGGACAACACTATGGAGTCTTTCAAATCTGCATTAGATTAAGAGATCCTTTATTTGTCCCACAGTGGGGAAATTTCGGTGTTGCATCACAGGTTATAGGACAGTAGGAAAGAGGAGCACACAGCACACGTGAAAAATAGCTATAGTAAACAAAATAAAAATAATCTAACTCTAGCATCAATAATAAGTATAAAATCTCTATCTTGAAAATATAAGAGATGTAAAAATTTAAAATTGACAAAATAAGAGGCAACTATAAAATACTGTGTAATCTAGTGCAAGTAAAGTGTAGTTATATGTTAGCATCTGTACATTAGCAGCAGTATGTTTACATCTGTATATTAGCAGCAGTATGTTTCCAACTGTATATTGGCAGCTGTGTATTGCACATTCTGGTATAAGGTAAGGATTGAATGCAGCTTTAAAACAGAAAACTATTTAGATTAGATCATCGTCGCCCTGGTACAGTGTTCAACTCCACACTTTAAAACAGGACGTCAGAAAATTGGAGAGGCTATATCGCCACTCCCACTCGGAGCCCTTCGCAGGGCTCGAACTCAATACTATTCAACTTTAATAGAAGCCAATAAAAATAACAGTAGATCTTTGTTTAGCACCGTCGCTCAACTCACAAACTGCCATAGCGCAATCGAGCCTAAAATTCCAAGCTCACTGAGCAGTGTCAAATTTTTCCATTTCTTTAATAATAAAATTACATCCATTCGTGAAAAACTGGAGGTTACTCCTGCTGTTGGTAGTGGACAGGCTGAAGCGGCATACTTGACTTCCCACTTGGACTCTTCAGTGGGCCTCGATAAATTCATGTCTGTGAGCCAAGCAGAGGTGATCTCTGTGGTCACATCCTCAAAAGCCTCAACTTGCATGTTAGACGCAATCCCGACTTGGCTCTTCAAAGACATACTTCCTTTGATAATTGAGCCTATCGTAAATATAATAAACGCATCCATACAATATGGCTATGTCCCACAAGCTTTTAAAACAGCAGTAATCAAACCCCTTCTGAAGAAAACAAACCTGGATCCAGAAATACTTACAAACTACAGACCGATCTTGAACCTCACTTGCATATCTAAAATCCTGGAAAACTTATAGCTGAGTAGTTTGGCTGCCACCTGCAGGAAAATAATATGTTTGAAGTCTTTCAATCAGGATTCAGAGCTCATCATAGACTGAAACGGCACTAGTCAAAGTCACAAATGACTTACTACTAGCTGCTGATAATGGACAAGTGTCAGTGCTGGTCCTACTGGACCTTAGTGCTGCATTTGACACAATAGACC